TCTGTATGATCAAGCTCTACTTCACCTAGATTATAGCTTCGAGGGTTATTTTCATTACCAAGGGCTGAAAATAACCCTCGAAGCTGTAATCTAGGTGAAGTAGAGCTTGATCATACTAGACATATAGTAGGTTGGTAGACAGCAACCACCCAGGGAGGTACTACCGTCCTGCCAAGTGAGTAAAACGAAAGCCTGTAATTGTTTTACATGATGGTAGGATTGCTGGTGTCTTTTGTCTGTCTCAGGTACGTCTTGCTACTTCTACTTACACTTAGGTCACACTACACATACATGTACATGTTTATTTATACACACTCATCTGAGTTTTCTTTGATTTTATCTTCATAGTTCTTGTTCTTATTACTTTTCCTTTTATATCCATGGGGAAGTGGAATAAGAATCTTTCCTCCGTAAGCCATGCGTGTTGTAAAAGTCAACTAAAATGCCGGGAACAATGGGCTAGTAACTCCTTTTCCTGTAATAATTACTAGAAAGAATAGCTGGACTTAAGTCCTGGAAATGGGAAGTACAATGCCTGAACTTTAAAGGAGGGGTTTGGGATATTGGCAGTTTGGAGGGATATGTTATGTATCTTTATACGTATATGCTTCTAAACTGTTGTATTCTGAGCACCTCTGCAAAAATATTGATTATGTGTGAGTGAGGTGAAAGTGTTGAATGATGATAAAAGTACAGTGGACCCCCGGTTAACAATATTTTTTCATTCCAGAAGTATGTTCAGGTGCCAGTACTGACCGAATTTGTTCCCATAAGGAATATTGTGAAGTAGATTAGTACATTTCAGACCCCCAAACATACAGGTACAAACGCACTTACATAAATACACTTACATAATTGGTCGCATTGGGAGGTGATCGTTAAGCGGGGATCCACTGTATTTTCTTTTTTGGGATTTTTTTTCTTGTTGGGTCACCCTGTCACCCTGCCTCGGTGGGAGACGGCCAACTTGTTAAAAAAAAAATATATATATATCATAGTTGATTTGAATTGAACGTTGTTTTTTTACATATCAACAGAGGTAGTAGCAGTTTCATAGTAATTAAACTAACAAGTAGTTCAATAACAAGTTACAGAATTGTATTTTAGCATATGCATAATGAGATTGAGACAATTTTAGTTTTGAAATAATCTTATAAAATTTGGCAATTTTTGAGTTGATGGTGGTGATAGTATATAGTGTTTGTGTTGTTAGTTTTAGGAGATGAGGTGATTGCTAAGTAGTGCCTTGAATTGGTGTACAGGCAAGGGCCCTTTTGTATTTTCAGGCAATGAATTCCAGATCTTAGGGCCCTTTATAAGCATTGCATTTTTGCATAGGGAGAGATGGACATGAGGGATATCAAATAGTGTTTTGTGTCTTGTGTTATGCAAGTGCGTTCTGTTGTAGTTCTCGAGAAGAAGTTTGAGAGGAGAGTTTATATTGGAGAATAATGTTTTGTGTATATAGTAGGCACAATAATGTAAGTGGATATTTTGTACGTTAAGCAGGGTCAAGCTCTTAAATAGCGGTGGGGTGTGTTGCCTGGCACAGGAGTTTGTAATCATTCGCATAGCAGCTTTCTGTTATATAATTAAAGGTTTAAGGTGATTTGCTGTGGTTGAACCCTATGCACAAATACCATAAGTGAGGTATGGATAGATGAGAGAGTGGTAAAGAGCAAGAAGTGCCCTTTGGGGTACATAGTACTGTCAGGGCCGGATTACCGCATAGGCAAACTAGGCATTTGCCTAGGGCCCCGCGCATTTGGGGGCCCCACGGTCCAAGGGGTTCAGGGGCTCATCCAAGACTACGCACATGGTGCAAGTGCAAAGGGGTCCCTACCTAAAAAGTTCAAGTGTTTGAAGAATAAAATTGATTTTTAAAAATTAGTCAAAACAAAAATAAATAATGAAATAAAATAAAATAAAAATAAATAAACCTGACCATAGATGGCAACACTCAGCATGCCTTTGTTTACATCAAAACAGCTGTGTTTTCCTGCTAATGGGTGAGTATGGGAGATTCCTCTCCAATTTTCTGTAGTAATTACACGTTATCTAGACTTGTACTGTGACAAATTAACTGAAGTGTTGTTGATAGACATTGATGTGTATGGATAAATGTTTGTTTTCGCCTCTGATAGGGTTACTTGACCAGTAAAGACGCATGGACCAGTAAAGACGCATTTTTGGTAAAAATACTATAAAGAAAAACCTAAAAACGCAAACTGACTTCCGTTTGTAGGTTTTAAAAGCACTTTGTCCTGTCTTTAACCCTTTGACTGTTTCAGGCCCCTCTCTGAAACTGTCATTCTATTTCACTCAATTTTTGAAAAAAAAAATTATTTTTTCTTATGAAATGATAGAGAATCTTTTCCCGATGGTAATGACACCAAAAGTTCGAAATTTGGTCGAAAACTCATGGAATTATGCTCCCGCGAAGTTAGCGGTCTCGGCGACATATGCGTATCGGCGATTTCGCCGACTTTGAGCCCTATTTTCAGCCAATTCCATTGTTCCAGTTGACCAAACTCATAGCTATTTCTTTAGAACTCCATTTTATCTATCAGCTGAGTACAAGAAACCTCCCATTTACTAATTTGCACTACCCAATGTGGTGGTCAGAAATTGGCAATTTGGCCAATTTCACACAAACTAAAAAAGATGCCAATTTCAAAATAGGGTCCAGAATAAACAAGGTAGACATTCGTGGCACTAAAATAACATATGCTCTGTTCATTGGTCATATCTCTAGGCCCCTCTTATATTATTATTGCTTTCTATTTTGATTTTTTATTCATACAAAAAAATACAAAATTTACTGTTATGCAGACTACTGCATTATTGTAAAAATGGTATAAATAATATCAGTGCACTAGTGAAAGAATATTAGACTCCCCAGTTGATGTGTATTGGACGTGTGGTGTGATTTATTTACTCCTGAACATTGGTAAAAATCGAACATTTCCGCTAATTTGAGCTCAGTTTCAAGGTCGTTTTCATTGTCAAAGTAATGAAAATCATCTCTATTTCTGTAATATGTTTTCCATTTTATCACCTAAGACCATGAAAACGCGAATACAACGATAAATACTATACGAAAATACACCTCAAAGTCGGCGTTTTATTCCAAAAAAACAATCAGTTTTTTTTTTCTCATTGCACAATGTGTGCTGCAGGATTTTTTTTATGTGGTGCACACTGACCACACAGACCCATTCTCTCACATGCGGGCCTACCAGCTTTCTCCCGCTTGATTTGAAGCCGCTAGAATTATTGAGTATAAATACGTCAGAAACATTGGCTCGTAAGACGTATTTATACGTCGAAAACAGTCAAAGGGTTAAGTCTTTATCATTTCAATAACAGATCTCAATTGATTGATGTTCTACATCACTGACAAATTGTGTAACCAAGACAAATTGTGTAACCTAGCCATGTTGACCACTGAGTCTGATCTAACAAGAAATATTGATTTTCAGAATATAATTGATGATTTTGCCAATATGAAATCCAGAAAAAAGTTTATTTAAGAAGTGCCTGTGAATATAAACAATTCTTTACTTTTTTGAGTTTATATGATTTGATAGTCTTATGCATGATGCAATGATAACAATAAGTCGTGATTTATAAAGGGAATAATAGTGCTGTAGTGGTTATGGTGAATATAATAGGTACATGATGTCACTACTTTAATAGCCTAATCTAGTAATACTATGCTGTCTTGAGTTTATTCTCTTTAAAATGCATGATTTAACAAGATAGTTATAATGGCTGTTGGTAAATGGTTTTGGTTGTCTTGATGTACTTTCCCTATTAAATTTAATCTAAATAGCCAGAATGTATTTAATTAGACCTTAAACAGGCTCACACTGACCCCCCCCCCCCCACCCCCAAGCTGGAAGGGGCCGTTTCGCTTACCCATAACTCAAAGGGGCCCCGCCAATCTGAATAGCCTAGGGCCCGGAGACTTCTTAATCTGGCCCTGAGTACTGTATCTTAGAGAGGATGCCTACTAAATAACAAAAAAAGACACAATACCGTGACTGGAACGATACACAAATAACCCGTACATAAAATTGAGAAGCTTACGACGACGTTTCGGTCCGACTTGGACCATTGACAAAGTCACACTAACCAGAAGTGGAGTAGGACGGCTATATATAGGCAGGAAGAGGTGATGGTAGTAGTAGTAGTACAAGAATGGTATATAATACTGACAAGATGAAATTAAGACACATGCGCAACACCCGGGCATCCCTATCGTAGACGTTTTGCCATCCAGCCAGCCACTGGATGGCAAAACGCCCACAACAAAGACAACCAGAACCCGCACATATGTCTTAATTTCATCAGTAGTTGTAGTAGTAGTGGTAGAAGTGGGAAATAAGGAGGACGAGCCAGTCAAATGGTCCAAGTCCGACCGAAACGTCGTCGTAAGCTTCTCTCTTCTATGTGCGGGTTATTTGTGTAGGATGCCTACTGTTTTGGAGATTTTTTTAGAAATATGCTGTATGTGGGTCTGAAATTTAAGACAGTTGCCAGTGTGGAGCCCAGAAATTTTCCGTCAGTGTGTCTTGAAATTGAGGAACCATTTATCGATATGTTTATCTGAATATTTGCAGCTCTATTACCAAATAGAATGAAGTAGGTTTTGTCGATATTGAGAGTAAGTTTGTTGGTCATCATCCAAGTGGATATTTTTAGCAGCTCATCATTTACCGTGTTTCTAAATATGGTTTGGTTAAGGTGAGAGAATTATAGGTGGTGTCATCTACAAAAAAGAACAGGTTTAAGTAGTTTGGAGGCATTAGGGAGGTCATTGATGTAAATGAGAAAGAGACGTGGTCCAAGAACACTGCAAGAACACTCTAAGGTACATTAAAAAAACTTCAAGCACAGTATTTTTTTAAATAATTGATTCTGCTTAAATACAGCATTTTAAATTGTCTCAGAAAGATTTACAGTTTTTCTCCATTGTAACTGTTATTGTATTCCAGGAGAGAGGTGCGAGGTACGTTTAGACCCCTGTGAAAGTCAGCCATGCCAAGCCGGTGCCTCCTGTGTAACCCTTCCATCTGAGGGCTTCCTCTGCAAGTGTCCTCCAGGCAGAACTGGTACTCTGTGTGACCAAAGTGAGTTCCTTTTTTTTTTTTTTTAAATTTCTGTCATTTGGCCTTTACAGACTTATGATTTAGACTAGTTAGACTGAGGAGTGCCCAAAAAGTTATGCATAACCATGGGCATTGTACATGCATTCCAGTGTCACCCATTTCTGTATAAACAATGTGGAAAATTTGAAAAATACAGTACATATAATTCCTTTCTAAAAAAATAGTCTGTTCTTAATGTGATCATATCTAAGCCCTTATATCACACTTTTTTTTTTCCCACAATCACATGGTAGCTCTTGCTTACTGGACTTAAGTAGCAGGGAAGTGTCCTTGGCCCACTCCTCTTTCTCATTTACATCAATGACCTACCGAATGCATCACAATTACTCAAACCCATATTATTTGCAGATGACACAACATACATCTTCTCTCACTCAAACCCAGTCATACTGGCCAACAATGTTAATGCCAATTTGCAGAAAATATCTACCTGGATGATGACTAATAAGCTTACCCTCAGTACCGACAAAACCTATTTCATTCAGTTTGGAAACAGAGTTGCAAATGTTCCACTTAACATAACGCTAAATGGATCACCCATCACAAGACTCACAAAGGGAAAATTCCTAGGAATCCACCTTGACAGTAGCCTCAAATTCCAGACACATATATGTACAACAAATTTCCAAGAAAATCTCTAAGACAGTAGGCATACTATCAAAGATATGGCACTATGTTCCACAATCAGCTCTCCTTGTACTGTATCATTCACTCATCTACCCTTATCTCACATATAGAGTTTGTGCATGGGGATCAACAACACTAAATCGCCTAAGACCATTAATAACCCAGCAAAAGGCTGCAGTCAGAATGATAACAAATTCCCACTCCTGACAGCATACTCCACCAATATTCAAAAGTCTAAAACTGCTCACCGTAAAGAACGTCCATACTTATTCATGTGCCTACTACATACATAGAACACTACACTCAAACATAAACCCTCCACTCAAACTTCTCCTCACCAACCTTAACAGGACATACAACCATAACATGAGACACATCTCTTTTTGATGTACCCCGTGTCCATATCACACTGTAAAAACTCTGTGCACATAAAGGGCCCCAAAATTTGGAATTAATTACCAGTAAATACTAAAGTAACCCTGTCTGAACATCAATTTAAGACTCTTCTCAAAAACCACCTACTCACCCTAAACTAAATACTCAGTATTTAACTTTACCAAAAAATCTCCCAATTACCTAAATCTTAAAAATTCTAAACTAGATGCCCATAGTTCATACATTGATTATTACTACATTGTAGTATAAATATCTACCCAAAACAATACTGCCTTACACCCAGTTGTAGCATTCTCATACTGTAAACTACTTTCAACAACTCACAATATTATATTCCCATAATATAATTTCAATATTTATTTTTGAAACTATTGTAATTTGAGTAAAATTACTGTCTACTATAAATAATAACAGATGTACAACTTAACCCTTTCAGGGTCCAAGGCCCAAATCTGGAGTCACGCACCAGTGTCCAAGAATTTTCACAAAAAAATTTTGTTATTTTTTCTTATGAAATCGTAGAGAATCTTTTTGTGAAGGTAATAAAACAAAAAGTATGAAATTTGGTGGAAAATTGACGAAATTATGCTCTCGCGAATTTTGATGTGTCAGCGATATTTACGAATCGGCGATTTTGCCGACTTTGACTCCCATTTTAGGCCAATTACATAATTCCAATCAACCAAATTCTTAGTTATTTCACTAGTATTACTTCTATTCTATCGATTGAGCACAAGAAATCGCCAAGTCAACTGTTTCAACTACAAAATAAAGTGATCAGAAATTGTCAATTTGGTCAATTTAACACAAAGTTCAAAATATTCCAATTTCAAAATAGGGTCCAGAATAAACAATTTAGGCATTCCTGGCACTAAACTAACATTTCCTCTGTTCATTAGTTATGTTTTGAGGCTTTACAAATAAATTCCATTTTGATTTTTTATTCACATAATGAATTTTTATTCACACCAAAAAATAGAAGATTTACTGTTATGCAATACTGTAATAATTGTATAAATATCATCACCATATTTGTGAATGTATATTAGACCCACCAGCTGACGTGTATTAGATGTGTGAGGTCGTTTGTTTACTCTTGAATATCGGCAAAAATTTAACATTTCCGCTACTTTGAGCTCAGTTTCAAGCCATTTCCAGGGCTAAAATCAATCAAAATCATCTCTATTTCTGTAATATGTCTTCCATTCTATCAAATGAGACCAAGAAATTGCAAATACAACTATAAAAAACATACGAAAAAACACTGCAAAGTTGCTGTTTTAATCGAAAAATCATGATTTCAGTTTTTTTCTCTCATTATACACAGTGTGCTGCAGGATCTGTAGCAGGATCTGATCTAGGCCCAAATGTACCACTCACAGTTTATCAGAGTGAGCTGAGCTCATGGCGTAGATCTACGGTTTGGACACTCACCGTAAAGCCGTAGATCTACGGGACGGACCCTGAAAGGGTTAAACTGTGATTAATTTCTTAGTATTAACCCTTTGACTGTTTTGGTCGTATATATACGTCTTATGAGCCACCGTTTTTGACGTATATATACTCAAAAATTCCAGCGGCTTCAAATCAAGCAGGAGAAAGCTATTAGGCCCACATGTGAGAGAATGGGTCTGTGTGGTCAGTGTGCACCATATAAAAAAAAATCCTGCAGCATGCAGTGCATAATGAGAGAAAAAAAAAACTCAGACCGTTTTTTTTTTAATTAAAATGCCGACTTTGTAGTCTATTCTCATCTAGTATTTATGGTTGTATTCTTGTTTTCTTGGTCTCATTTGATAGAATGGAAAACATATTATGGAAATAGAGGTGATTTTGATTGGTTTTTCTTCTGAAAAGAATCTTGAAATGGAGCTCAAAATAGGGGAAATGTTTGATTTTTACCGATGTTCAAAAGTAAACAAATGATGTCATTTTCCAATAAATGTCCAAGTAGCCATTCAAATATGCAGTAATGAATGGGTTGACATTATTTATACAATTATTACAATATTGCAGTAGTCTGGATAACAGTAAATCTTCTATTTTTTGTTTGAATAAAAATTCAAAATAGAAAGCAAGAGTAATATCAGAGGGGCCTGAAGACGTGACTGATGAGCAAAGAAAATGTTATTTTAGAGCCAGGAATGTCTGCATTGTTCATTCTGGACCCTATTTTGAAATTTTCATAATTTTTAATTTTCGTGAAATTGGCCAAATTGCAAATTTCTGACCACGTTATTGGGTAGTTGAAATCTGTAAATGGGCAGTTTCTTGTACTCAATCGATAGAAAAAATGGAGTTCTAAAGAAATAGCTATGAGTTTGGTCAACTGGAACAATGGAATTAGCCGAAAATAGGGCTCAAAGTGGGCGAAATCGCCGATTCATACATATCGCCAAGGTCGCCAACTTCGCAAGAGCATAATTCCGTCAGTTTTCCATCAGAAACGATTCTTTATCATTTCATAAGAAATTTTTTTTTTTTTTTTTCTGAAATTTTGCGACACTAGGAGACACCTCAGGATTTGGGGTTGCGACAGTCAAGGGGTTAAGTAGTCTGTAAACCATTAAATTAAGTTTGCCCATAAGGCCTAGGCATGAAAGTGGCTCTTTGCACTGCAACTCATTATTGTAATTTCATAATATCAGTGTAATCTTGCAAGGAAATAAAATTTGTTTGTTTGTATTTTAGCAAATGCTAAATCTTGGACTGATGATATTCTTATTAATCTGTCTAGCTGTCCTCGTTACATGTCAACAATCAAGTGGCAGTGTCTCATAGCTTGATTGCTAGTGCACTCAGCTCACACACTGAGGTCCAAGGTGTGATCCCCAGTACGGCTGGAAAACATTAGGTTGTCTTTCCATAAGACTCCTGCTGCCCCTATTCACCTATCAGTAAAATGGGTACCTGGGAGTTAGTTGACTGGTGTGGGTCACATCCTGGGACAAAATTGACCTAATTTGCCCGAAATGCTCTGCATTTCGGCATTTCGGCTAGGTCTGTATATCTTGTACATGTACAGTGGACCCCCGCATAACGATCACCTCCGAATGCGACCAATTATGTAAGTGTATTTATGTAAGTGCGTTTGTACATGTATGTTTGGGGGTCTGAAATGGACTAATTTACTTCACAATATTCCTTATGGGAACAAATTCTGTCAGTACTGGCACCTGAACATACTTCTGGAGTGAAAAAATATCGTTAACCGGGGGTCCACTGTACTTGTAGAAATAAAGATATTATCAGTTTTCTGCTTTCACAATCTCCTTTCTTTTGGTACCTACTTGAAGATCCTCCCAATTTGTCACTAAAGCTGACATTTGTCATGATCATTAGATGGAAAACTTTGAGTAAATTATTTTCAGTGTTTGTTTGTTTTTTTTCTTATTCATCTCAATGGTCATCTCACACCAAGCTTGGTGATCCAAAGAAGGAAATGCATTCACCATCATTCATTCAGTTCTGTTATGCCAGAAATGTGCTGATATCACAATACAGATTATCCTCTGACTTCTTCATCCCCACCCCTCCTTCAGAGTTCAGTCACTGTACTTCCCACCTCCAGAACTTGAGTCTGGCTAGCCAGTTTTCCTGTCTCCCTTTGTTACCTTGCCTACACTCGACAGCACATCCATTTAAAACCACTTGTTTACATTCACCCTTATCTAATATGCTCACACAAGCCTGCTTAATGCTCAAAAACCTAAAGCTCAAAGCCCCCTTTACTCCTATCCATTCAACAATTCCTTCCACCCTACATTTATACATCCTCTTCATCATCTGATCCCTGTCCATCTTTAAATGTTCAAACCACCTCAGCAACCTCACTGCCTCTGGTAAGACAGTGATAGTGTGAATGATGGTGAAAATGTTTTTTTTGGGTCACTCTGCCTCCGTGAAAGATGGCCCTCATGTTAAAATAATAATAATTTCAATTTTTTTTTAACGTGTTGGCCATTTCCCACTGAGGCAGGGTGATCCAAAAAGAAAGAAAAACCCCAAAAGAAAGATAAAACGTTCATCATCATTCAACACTTTCACCATCACTCATACATAATCACTGTCTTTGCAGAGGTACTCAGATACGACAGTTTAGATGTCCCTCCAAACTGCCAATATCCCAAACCCCTCCTTTATAGTGCAGGCATTGTATTTCCCATTTCCAGGGCTCAAGTCTGGCTAACCGGTTTCCCTGAATCACTTCACAAAATTATGCATAAAAAATACGAAAATCTGAAGAGCCATAGGATGCACAATATTCCTGGCAAAACTTAATCTTGTCTTATAATCTGCTTAGGTTTTTAAGGGTCTAATACATGATATTGATAGGAAATTACAACAAAAGATACAAATTACTAAATGCATAATTTAAAATAAAAATGTTGTAATTTAAATGAAACTATGTAAAAATGTTACACATGGAATAACTGTAACTCACCAGATAGACAGGATTCAAACCCAAGGCCTGGTCTCAGACCGAGCCATGGGGGCGTTGACCCCCGAAACCATCTCCAGGTAAGGTACATTGGTTATAGAACCAATTTGCTAATTTTAGGACTGGCTTCCCATGGGTTTGAACCCTGTGCATTCATTTTGTTCATAGTTGTGTTTTAGAATTTTGATAGTTAATGACTGTATACCATAGATTTGGAGTGAAAATAAATAGGACTGGTGTGTGTCTGGAATGCAACTATAGTTTTCCCAAATAATTTATTCAAATTTTGTATTTGATGTGTTGATTCAGTTTGTGGTTTTCCAGCACATCACTACACAAATCAAGGGCTTAATATTTATAAATTTATTATTGTTTTATATCAGTTAATTTATGCAGACCTCATGCCTACTTAATCTCTACAGTGGACCGCACTCTTCGGGAGTCAGTTATTCCAGACTTTGATGGAGATGCCTATCTTGAACTCCCAACTCTAGAGAATGTTGGCAACTCTTTAGCCTTGGAGATCTGGTTTCTTACTAGATCTCCAGATGGTGTCCTGCTCTACAATGGACAGATGGGTGGGGGAGGAGACTTCATTGCCTTAAATCTTCGCAATGGACACGTTGAATTCTCCTATAACCTTGGCTCTGGTCTTGCCACTCTAGTGTGAGTAATTTCCCATTGAATCCACTTTTTTCCCTGTTTAATGGTTTCCTTAGGGTATCTTATGCAGTATTTTGATAAGTTGCATTATAGTTTGTACTTTAGACAATATTATTAAATATATATGGGGTAGGAATATTCAAGGGCACGAGAATGGGGCATGATGGTTATAAATCAACTATCAGGCTCTTGTAAGTCCCAGTTCCTAGTTCTGCACCTCATATTTTCACCTTTTAAGAAGTATCCGGTGTTTACCACTTCCATGTCTGATCTTTGTTATTCAGATTAATATCACAAAATTAGACCTGCTTCCTACACAGAATCACCAATTATAATGTGTTGTTTCAGATTCAGGCTGAAGTAAGTAGTGGACCACTGGTGTAGGTGGTAAACTTCAGGTCAGAGTGAGCAACATGAACAAGCACAATTTGTTCCTGAACTTACTCTGGCACAAGTAACGTCTCTTTAGCCACTCTCACGCTCTTGGTCTGGACCTGTGCTGTATCTGAGCAGTGATTGATGTGCTCAAGCTTGTCTAGGATATACTGATAAATTAAATCAATGTCATTAAGTCCTAATCATAGCAAATAACTTTAGTAAAGAGTTAATGTAGCTCATGACAAAAAATGTCAAACAAAGAAGCAAATTACTGTATAACAGGTCTGAGAGCCATGACCTGGCTTAAACCAATCCCTCAACCACCTTTGTAGTTGCACTTGCATGCCTTTGCACTAGCAACAAATAATCAAATTTGGAAGAATTTACAAGTTGAGCTTGATAAGTACAGAATAATTAATTGTAATGTATCAGATATTTTTTCAAACATGCAGATTAGCTCTTAATTTCAATGGAATATGCCTGATTAAAAATAGATGTATGCCAAAACTCTATATTAAAGATAATATACTGTTTATACAAAGCAGGTCAATAAAACAAATTAAGGGTACATAAATAGAATGAAGGAGATAGATATTCAAAATAGGAAATAAATTATTTCGTCACCAAGGAGTGCAACTCATTCTCATTAGTTGAGCACAAATAATATCTAGGCCAGGGGTCCCCAACCTGTGGCCCACAGGCTGCAAGTGGCCCTTCTGGGAAATGGATGTGACTCGTGTGAAATTGTTAATTCACTTTTTATGTAGGCTCTGCACTGCACAGTATCAGCAAAACTGTGCAGCCCTCATCACACATTTGACTATCAAATGTGGCCCACTTTTGTTCGGAAGGTCGAGAACCACTGCTCTAGGTGATATATACGTCTTTCAATATAGGTTTTTTCAGAATGATTGTATTAATAGCAATCCAAAGCATTCAATAACCACATTATAAAAATGACATACAATTCATCGTGGTAGGTATTGTTAGCCTGGATATAGTTGCTCTTGCTGCAGTAGTTTCAAGAAGTGGTGAAATTTTCACATCACTTTACTTTAGTGTACACTTTATGAAATGTATGTTTGTAATAATAATATTGCACTTGTTATTGAACTCCTTGCATGTATTTAATAGCATTTACATATTTATAATACAGTAACCATTTAATATAGTTTTGGCAGTAAAGTATTTATTGATCAGATATTCCTGAGTAATAATGCCATGGTATTTATTGCTATCCATAAGTATCTTTCCTGCTGCATATATTATCCCTTTAACTTTTTCCAACAAGGTAATGACCAAAGTACCCAGCACAGCTTCTATCCAGTGTGGGTCCATGCCAGTCCTCAGCCACCACATGTTCGAAATTTTACAATATGCACATCACCCCAAGGTGTCTGATTGCTGAACTTTTTCTTTATTCGAACATCTGCCAAGAGGACCTTATACTTTCTCTTCTTAAAGGCTGAATGCATCAAATTGATTTCCTGGTACCATCACACACATTTTGCCAAGCTCACATGCCACAGTTCTGTACCACACACTAGATTATGTCTCAGGTTGAAATAAAACTTTTTTTTAGCGAGTTTGTTTTGCACTGTATTTTTTTGCCGAGTAATTAATTATTTTCCACATTTTGTTTAAGCTAAATAATCCTATAATTGATTTGTACTGAATCTTCTTGGATATTTTTCACTTTTGTTTTTGTTATGTTTTTGCCTCATTTGGCCATTACCAGCTTGTACATGTGTGTCTTGTCCTGTTGAGGATAATTAAGGTAATACATATTTATTATACTTAGAAATTAATACTGTCCCCATTTGTATGCTACTTTGCAACAGAATTTAGTTCACAGTTCATCTGTATACTCAGTCACTGTCAAAAGAAGCTTAGCGAACAGATCTTGTGTTAGAAAGGATTATCATTTATTAAATAATGTACATAGAAAATAAATTTTTAATGTCATAATTTGTTATATAGTCAGAATTTTGATTCATATATACTCCACCTTACAAATTATGAATACCAGTAACTCAGCCATCCAGAATGAAAAAAATTCCACCCTAACTTTCATCATCCTCCTGTTTACAGAAGTCCCAATCGAGTGCCACTGAACACTTGGCATGTGGTTCGTGTGCGCCGCAAGAAGAGGCGTGGCATCCTGAGACTTAATCAGGGTCGGAGGGTCATGGGCAAGAGTGGGCCTAGGCTAAAGGAACTCAACCTCAATCAGCCACTTTATCTTGGAGGCCTTGAGTAAGTTCAACACTATATTACAATGCCCACTCATATCAATTTAATTCCCAGCCTTATTACTAGTGTGAGAAATGCCATTTAGAGAATCATCTAGCTCATAAAAAGAAAAGAAAATGCAGAATTTAAATATTGCACTTTTTCTTTATTTCGAACACTTGCTTTATTTAGGAGGTAATAGTGGTACCTCGGGATACAAATTTAATTCATTCCAGGAGGCTGTTCGAGTGCCGATACTGAACGAATTTGTTCCCATAAGGAATAAAGTAAATTAGATTAGTCAGTGTCAGACCCCCAAAAATACACTTACAAAAGCACTTACAAAAATACACTTACGTAATTGTTCGAGTTGGGAGCTGTTCGTGTGCCGAGGTACCACTGTATTTAGTTAAGAATTTTACAAGTAAATAAATGGTTTTCTTTTAAGAATTTAGCTTTTTCCCTTTTTCTTATGATATAATCAAGACAATATATTCAAGAACTAACGAAGACTTCCATTTGGTTCAGATTTTATCATTATAAATATCTTTAAGACAATCAGAACACTTTTTAAGTCATTTTTTTTTTTTAGTTATGGTTGTTTACTTTGGGAAAATCAGCCTGCTTCAAAAATTAATAATTGTATATTCTTCCTGTTTGAAAAATAAAACATGTTCTCCATCACAGAAACAAACAACTATTTCTTTGTGTAGTACGAAGTGTAGTTTACATGTAATAAAATACTGTTAAGCACAAAGAAAGCCACTAGCATGCCTGTGCATTTTGGGCAGACCAGTACTAATGCTTACACACTGCTTAAGATCAGACATACATTACCGAGTGGTAAATTTTAATTTTGTATTACTACAAAAAGAGAGGTAGCAAAAATGTTACAATTAGTACAATTTACAATAGAGGTACCAAAACATTACAAGTAGCACAATTTACAATAGTACAATTTTAAGTGTGTATTAATACTTTAAACTGATTTAGTGATCTTAAGTTAATTAGGATTTATTAAGTAGAAAAGATGTCTCCTCTTCAGTAACAAAACAAGATGTTATTTCTACCTTCAAAAACTAATGTCATAATTTTGTTCTCAGGAACTACACTAAGGCGCATCCAGACTCTGGGGTTACCATGGGTCTTAATGGAGCCATTCAGCGCCTTCTTGTCAATTCAGAAGTCTTTGACAACTTGGATGAGCGAGCCACAGGTGGTCGAGGTGTCCGCAGGTAAAGAGAGCATGATATTGTTTGGTAATTTGTATAGCTGTAGGACAGTAGTGACTTTTAGACTATTTTATCATAAGGGATAGAGGAGGGAGGGGGAAATGTGATATACAGTGCCTGCAGAAATAATCCAAACCTCTCCTTTATTATAATGAAAGTTGTCAAAAAGCAACAGTATAAACATTATAGAACAAAAACTATAATAATTGGTTCTTCCATTAATATTCTGTCGTTTCCCCTTTGACGACCATTTGGAGCCATTTGGTCATGCTTTCACTTAGATTCCCGAAGTAAGCAGTGGATAACTCGTTGACCCAAATGTCCTTGCTCTCCAGATTCAGGCATGCTATGGATGAAATGTGGCAGGATTCCATCTTTTTTTCTTCATGATATACCAGGCATTCTCAACAGGATTGAGTTCTGACCACTGTAAAACCTCAGTATTATTCTCAGCAAGCCACTTTGATAATGATTTTTGTAATAAAAAAGGGAAGATTTGGATTATTTTTGTGGGAATTTTAACAGTACAAGAAAAAAAAGGAAATATGTAAAAATCCTTAATTTTGTTTAGAATATGACAGCATATATCCATGGAGGTATTACCATCTTGTAATATGAGAATGATATGAAGGCCTATTAAATATCTGTGGAAACAAAGTGTTTGAGCACATGGAAACCTAGTTCTAAAACTAGCAAGTTAGTACTTCACCACCGGTTTAAATAAAGTTAAGAATAATAATCCAACTAGGGTATATTTCTATATATGAAAGGTGTTTTCATGGGTCTCATTGTGATCATGTATACCTGTGGTGAGAGTGCTGGCCTGCTAGTTTTAGAACTGACTTGCCATGAATTCAAACCCTGTTTATTCCCAGAGTAAATAACAGTGCTATTATTATGATTTTTGTCAGCTTGTCAGGTATTTTTTCAATGTCAGGATTACTAGTCCTTTCTGTCTTGTAAATAAATAGGATGACAGTTAAATCTTATAAAACCTCTATTTACAATGAGAATACACTTTACATTGTATTTCTTAATCAATAGTCTTTATTCTTTCAATATTCCCTTTACAATTTAGGAGAGGAGGGGTAAAGGTGGCTTGGCTGACTGGCCAGATATTGTAGGGTAAACACAAGTTATACTGTGGAAATACAGGAATTGCAGCATTGTAAGGCTGTATTTCTGAGCAAAAAGTAGTATATTCCCAGGAATATGGGTGTAATCCTTTGACTACTGCCCAGAAGATGGGTATGAGGGTACATAATAGTTACCAGATAGCCACTCCTAAGCCCTTCCTCTATCAGTATAGAAATTTTGTTGCTGCCCCTGGATCCAGGCAAGAATACAGTAACTCTAAAATTATAATCATCACAAAACAAGGCATGGAGTGGAAAAATTACCCCAGACCATTACCACATATCACTGAACCACATTGGCTGTCTCCTACTAAGGGCAAGTGACCTCAAACATTTAACTCCTTTATTTATTCTGTAAGCTTCTTTTTGGGAGTTATCTTGCCTTGGTGAGAGATAACCTATGTTTCAAAAAAATCTCAGATAATAAACACAATAAATTAAAATAACCAGCACATCATCATACTGGTCAAAACAGTACTTATGCTGCCTAACTGCAGCATTGTAAGTATTTATATAGTTTTCTCCATGATTTATAGTAATTTTGGTAAGAGCAAGCACTTTGAAGGAAGGCAGCCTTAGATCCCAAATTTAAGTCCTTGAACAGCATCAAGGATGCTCACACAAGACCAATCAGCAAAAATAGGCACAACAGATTGACCTCGTGCAAAAAACAAAAAAAAAAGTCAAAATGTGAATGAAAATAGCAAAGCACTCACTATAAAATATATTTCTGTAATATATGGAGTGTTTGCAATTTATTAATTGTACAAAATGCCCTTAATATAGGAAAAAGACACTTATTTTCTAAATTATTAAAAAAAATTGCATCATTTATGGAAAATTTGTATATTCTACAGAGGTGTCATTACTTTAACAGTCTTATATGCATAATTGAGAAAAAATTAAAATTCCCTAGAACACTTCAGAGTTCTTTAATTTTGTCTTTAGATTCATTGGACAAGCCACGTCTTCCTCTGCATGATTAGGTTCACTAACCATTATATATATTAAGAGTTATTACATTGATCTTACCATAAGTTCCAAATCAAATCAATAAGTAATCCTTGTGTAACATCAGCTACTTTCTGGACTAACACTTGTCATCTTGCTTCAGGTACAGAGGTCCTCCATGCCAGCTTAACCCATGCGAAAATGGTGGGGTCTGTCAGCCCTTCCGAAACAGATTTCTCTGTAAATGTCCCGCTGCTTACACTGGCAAGTTCTGTGAGAAACGTAAGTAATACGTTGCAGATTCACATTTTGTGTGTGTATGTTATTGTATTCATGGTTAACATGATAGTTACCCATTTAGTTGCATTTATCTCGTATATCCTGTGGCTAATGGATTAAGGGACTGGGCCCAAACATTATTAGTTAAGTAAGTTACAATACTAGTGGACTCTTCACAAAATAATAGTTGCTGTTACAATGGTAATTAGTTCGTCACTAAGTGAATTCATTCTTCTTTTTTTAACATGTCAGCCATTTCCCACCAAGGCAGGGTGACCCAAAAAGAAAGAAAAAATTTTCATCATCATTCAACACTTTCACCATCACTCATACATAATCACTGTCTTTGCAGAGGCGCTCAGATACGACAGTTTAGATGTCCCTCCAAACTGCCAATATCCCAAACCCCTCCTTTAAAGTTCAGGCATTGTACTTCCCATTTCCAGGACTTGAGTCCAGCTAACTGGTTTCCCTGAATTCTTTCACAAAATATTACCCTGCTCACACTGCAACAGCTTGTCAGGTCCCAAAACCATTAGTCTCCATTCACTATCTAACATGCTCACACACGCTTGCTGGAAGTCCAAACCCCTCCCCCACAAAACCTCCTTTACCCCCTCCCTCCAACATTTTCAAGGATGACCCCTACCCTGTCTTCCTTACCCTACAGATTTATAAGCTCTCCAGTCATTCTACATTGTTCCATTCTCTCTAAATTCATTCATATGAAACATAAATTTATGGAAAGCACAACCCCCCTTTGGGATAAAGTAGCACTGTACAATCATAAAATACAGTGGACCCTCTTTTTTCGTAATTAATCCACTCCAGAGAGTGTGACTAATGGTGAAATTGACGATTTATGAAACCATTTTCCCCATAAGAAATAATGCAAGTCCAGTTAATCCATTCCAGACACCCAAAATTATTAAAACAATAATTTTTTTACATGAAATATAGATATACATACACAGAAAACAATGAGACATGAAGAATGAAACAATAATAACATGACACTTTCCTTTATTGAAGATTCTTCGTAGTGTATGGAAGACGGGAGAAGGAGAGAGGATGGATTAATTACTGTTTGGAAGGGGAATTCCCTTCCATAAAGACTTCAGGTACCAAGTGCTTTTCCAGGGTTACTTCCCTTTGTTTTTTAATGCCACTAGAACCAACTTGAGAGCCACTGCACACCTGTGGCACTAAATATCTGTCCAGAGAGCTCTGTTTCTGGCATCTCTAAGATTTCCCTAAAAGGGGACAAGACATTGTCATTGTGCATGTTGCCGACATGGCTTGCAAGAGCTTTGTCAGGGTGATGTTCCTCCACAAATCTTTCCATACTGCTCCACATTGCACAAATCTCCTTAATCTCTGAAGGCACCTTCATCCATCTTGCTCCCTCCTCCTCTGAAGCAATTTCCTGAGCTGTGGTCTGTTGCTTGTCCAGATGAAGCTCTTACAGCTCTTCATTGTGGTCCTCCAACTTTTCCACATCCTCGCCACTCACATCCAACCCCATGGAATTCCCCAATGCCACAATAGATTCCACAACTGGCATAGGGTTCTCAGGGTCAGCCCTAAATCCTTCAAAATCCCTCTCTTGGACACAATCTGGCAAAAAAATTTTCCAAGCAGAGTTCAAAGTCCAAGCCTTACCTATAAGATTTATGCAATGGAGGATACTGAAGTGATCTTTCCAAAACTCTCTGAGGGTCAATTGAGTGTCTGAGGTCACAGCAAAGCACCGTTGAAACATTACTTTAGTGTACGGTTTTTTGAAGTTTGAAATGATCTGCTGGTCCATGGGCTGGATGAGAGGAGTGTGATGAAACAAAACTCCTTCACCATTTGGTCATCCAAGTCTGGAGGATGAGCAGGTGCATTGTCCATTACCAGGAGTCACTTGAGTTTCAATTTATTTTCTAGGAGATATTTCTTCACATTGGGGTCAAACACTTCATTGAACCAATCAAGGAAAATGTCCCTCGTGACCCATGCCTTACTGTTAGCCTTCCACATCACACAGGTTACTCTTGGCAACACTGTTTTTCTTAAACACACTGGGATTTTCAGTGTGATACACCAGTAATGGCTTCACTTTGAAATCCCCACTATCATTACTACAGAACAAAAGAGTAAGCCTGTCTTTCATAGGCTTGTGTCCTGCCAGTGCCTCTCCCTCCTGCATGATGTAGCAGGACAGAGGTGCTTCATTGTTTAGCCTGGATAAAGTATGGATGGAGGCTGTGGGGAAATGGTAAGATAAGACTTTGTTTAGATTTTTAACCCCAGAGAGTTAGCCACCCAGGATAACCCAAGGAAGGCAGTGTGTTATTGAGGGACTGTCTTATTTCCATTGGGGTCCTTAATCTTTTGTCCCAGGATGTGACCCACACCAGTCAACTAACACCCAGGTGCCTACTTGCTAGGTGAACAGGGACAACAGGCATAAGGAAGCATGTCCAATGTTTCCACCCTTGCCAGGGATCAAACCAAGGACACTATGTGTAAAGTGAGTGTGTTGCCTACCAGGACATGGGACACCTTGGGTGTGGTTATGTAGGTGGCCTAATGTGGGTGATGATATGGGTGACTGGGTGGGTGAGTGTACAGTTGGTGGTATGGGTGGTAATGAGGGTCAATTAATCAATTTATTTCCACATGATACATTGCTTGTACAAAATTGGATGACATTACATAACTTGCATGGAAAGCCCCTTAGTTGTTCAGAGCATTTCAAGCAAGCTTCAACCTAACTTATGTCTACAAGGACTATTGTATGTAAAAATACTAGTCATTAATGATTTTAACGACAAAATGGATTACATGAATATGAAACAAATGTACTTGAGGCAGATAAAATCATAGCAAGGAATAAGAATACTACTTAGATTATACTACATTAAAATTCTTCTTTCAACAAACCGGCCATATCCCACCGAGGCAGGGTGGCCCAAAAGGAATAATGAGAGTTTCTTCTTTTAAATTGAGTCATATATATATACAGGAGAAGGGGTTACTAGCCCCTTGCTCCCGGCATTTTCATCGCCTCTCATGACATGCATGGCTTACAGAGGAAGAATTCTGTTCCACTTCCCCAAAAAATTTAATAAGAGTGAAACTAGTTACCTGTATTATTACAGAATGTGATGAGATAGTATTTTACATGTATGTATGTATATAAGACAAATTATATTCAGAGTAAAATTAATTAATTGAGAATGACTCATTGTATATGGACTGATAAAATCTTAGCAAGGCACAAGAGAATAAGATTACATAGATTATACAATATTTTTTGTTGAGTTCGTTGTGGATCCCAAGGCACAAATAGCATAGGTGAGTAAGGATAGATTAGAGAGTGTAGTATAATGTAAGTAGTGCTGTTTGAGGTACATAGTATCCTCTCCAAGATACATTGCTGATTTGGATATCTTTTTTATGTGCTGAATGTGGGTGTGGGCATGGGGCTGGGCAAGATGTGGACTTGAGGTAGTGGGGAAATAGTGTAGGCATGTGGCCATTGGGGAAATTGTAAGGGCAGGTTGTTTGGGTGGAGGTTGCTGGTTGTGATGGTGTGGGTGCAGGCGTGTAGTCATGTAGACTTGTATGGGTGGAAGCATGTGATACGGTGTTGGACATGTACGAATGGAGCACTGAGGTGAGGGAGATTGTGTAGGCCTTCTCTAAGATAATGGACTCATCCATACACTCACTGTGAACCTGGCCCATGCCACATTTTTTCCTACGTGTGCCCTGCCATGTAAACTGATTAATATAGCATGTTTACTGAAAATATGCTGCACTTTTGCAACCATGTTAATTTGGAAGTGTTAACAGTTGGCCTTCTGTACAGTTTTGTATGTTTCATACCAGTATTTAATTTAGTGTTATTTCACCACCAACTTGAAGTTGTGACTAGTGTATTTTCTGCTCTGAAAGGGATAACCTGAACTTCATGCCTATGTTTGAGTAAGTTTATTTTGTAGATGTATACTGTACATTATCAAATTGTTTTTCTCTCTTTTTATACAAGTTTCAAAATGTGATACAAGGTACAAAACAAATACATAGTATATGTATGTTTTTTTGGAAAATTATGAATTAACATTATATTTTACACACAAATAATCAGGCCTTAAACTTAAAACTATACTCTGATACTGCTTTTAACATCCTATGGAGAGGGAGCATGGACACTGGGGTCATCCCACAGCTACTAAAAACAACAGACATAGCCCCACTCCACAAAGGGGGCAGTAAAGCAATAGTAAAGAACTACAGACCGATAACGCTAACATCCCATATCATAAAAATCTTTGAAAGGGTCCTAAGAAGCAAGATCACCACCCATCTAGATACACATCAATTACACAACCCAGGGCAACATGGGTTTAAAGCAGGTCGCTCCTGTCTGTCCCAACTACTGGATCACTACGACAAGGTCCTAGATGCACTAGAAGACAAAAAGAATGCAGATGTAATATACACAAACTTTGCAAAAGCCTTCAACAAGTGTGACCATGGCGTAATAGTGCACAAAATGCGTGCTAAAGGAATAACAGGAAAAGTTGGTAGATGGATCTATAATTTCCTCACAAGCAGAACACAGAGTAGTAGTCAACAGAGTAAAGTCTGAGGCGGCTACGGTGAAAAGCTCTGTTCTGCAAGGCACAGTACGTGTACTTGCTCCCATCTTGTTTCTTATCCTCATATCTGACATAGACAAGGATGTCAGCCACAGCACCATGTCTTCCTTTGCAGACGACACCTGAATCTGCATAAGTGTCTTCCATTGCAGACACTGCAAGGCTCCAGGGGGACATCAACCAAATCTTTCAATGGGCTGCAGAAAACAATATGAAGTTCAACGATGAGAAATTTCAATCACTCCAATATGGTAATCATGAGGAAATTAAAACTTCATCAGAGTATAAAACAAATTCCAGCCACACAATAGAGCAAAAAACTAACGTCAAAGACCTGGGAGTGATTATGTCGGAGGATCTCGTCTTCAAGGACCAAAACATTGTATCAGTCGCGTCTGCTAGAAAAATGACAGGATGGATAATGAGAACCTTCAAAACTAGGGATGCCAAGCCAATGATGACACTCTTCAGGCTGCTTGTTCTATCTAGGCTGGACTATTGCTGCACACTAACAGCACCTTTCAAGGCAGGTGAAATTGCTGACCTAGAAAATGTACAGAGAACCTTCACGGCACGCATAACGGAGATAAAACACCTCGGTTACTGGGAGCGCTTGAAGTTTCTGAACCTGTACTCCCTGGAATGCAGGCGGGAGAGATGCATGATTATATACACCTGGAAAATCCTAGAGGGACTAGTACCAAACTTGCACACGAAAATCACTCTCTACGAAAGCAAAAGACTCGGCAGACGCTGCAACATCCCCCCAATGAAAAGCAGGGGTTTCACTAGCACGTTAAGAGACAACACAATAAGTGTCAGGGGCCCAAGACTGTTCAACTGCCTCCCAGCATACATAAGGGGGATTACCAATAGACCCCTGGCTGTCTTCGAGCAGGCACTGGACAAGCACCTAAAGTTGGTACCTGACCAGCCGGGCTGTGGCTCGTATGTTGGATTCAACACATTAAAAAACAAGACAGGAGATTTAAATACCTTACCACACTTTATATACAAAAAAGCATCACAAGTGCTATCACCAATCATTGCAACACTCTTTAGCAAATCCATAGAATCCTCTACCTTCCTTACAGTTCTCAAAATAGCAAGGGTCACCCCGATCCATAAAGGAGGAGACCAAACAGACTTGAATAACTATAGGCCAATATCCAACTTACACCCTCTCTAAAATCTTCAAAAAATTTATTCATAAGCGAATCTATTCCTACCTCATCTCCCACAACATACTCAACCCCTGTCAGTTTGGGTTTAGGCCTAATAAAAATACTAATGATGCTATTATACACATGCTAGAACACACATACACTGCAATAAAGAAAAAAGAAGTCCCACTGGGATCTTCATTGACTTACGTAAAGCTTTTGATACAGTTGACCATGACTTGCTCCATATAAAATTGTTGCACTGTGGTATAAGAGGGCACTCCCTCAACTACCCAAAGTCTTACCTCAGCAACAGAAGCCAATATGTGTACACAAATGGGGCAAACTTTTCCGCACAGCCAATTACAGTTGGAGTCCCACAGGGAAGTGTCCTAGGCCCTCTTCTCTTTCTCATATACATAAATGACCTACCAAATGCATCACAACTACTCAAACCTATTTGCAGATGACACTACATACGTCTTCTCTCACCCGAGCCCAGTCACGCTAGCCAATACTGTAAATACCGAATTACAGAAAATATCTACTTGGATGAGGACTAACAAACTTACTCTAAACATTGACAAAACCTACTTCATTCAGTTTGGTAACAGAGCTACAGACGTCCCTCTTAACATAATGATAAACGGATCACCTATCACAAAACTCACAGAGGGAAAATTCTTAGGAATCCACCTTGATAACAGACTCAAATTTCAAACACACATACAACAAATTTCCAAAAAAATTTCCAAGACCGTAGGCATACTATCGAAGATACAGTACTATGTTCCACAGTCGGCCCTCCTGGCCCTATATCACTCCTATCTCACCTATGGAATTTGTGCATTGGGCTCAACAACAATAAACCATCTCAGACCATTAATTACCCAACAAAAGGCTGCAGTCAGAATGATGATAAATTCCCACTACAGGCAGCACACTCCACCAATATTCAAAACTCTAAACCTACTCAACATACAAAACATCCATACATTTTACTGCACCTACTACATACATAGAACACTTAACTCTGATATAAACCCTCCCCTCAAATGTCTCCTTACCAACCTCAACAGAACACATGGCACAGATCACTCTTTGATGTTCCTCGTGTCCACCTCATGCTATGCAAAAACTCAATGCACATAAAAGGCCCTAAAATCTGGAATTCATTACCTGTGAATATAAAAGAAACACTACCTGTTTATAAATTCAAGTCTTCTCAAAAAACACTTACTCACCCACAACTAAATAAATACTGAATAATTGTATCTCATAAATGTCTAACCTGTGACCCAATCAAACTTTGTTATTTTTTAATTACATTACCTAACAGAATACTCAATTCTATTGAATGCTCAGCAACACAGTAAATGACCATATGACTGTCTTTGTAATATTCATTTGTGCTAAATTGTTATCATTTTACAATAATATTTTTACCACTGAATATATCATTGCCAAGTTAATTTTAAGCCTTCCCATAATGGTCTGCATACAAAGGGCTTTGGCATGTTGCACTTTAATAATTATATTCCTATGTACTTCTCTGTATCATTTTCAAATTAATAAATAAATAAATTGCATGCAGCTAGCAGTAACAGCCTGGTTGATCAGGCCCTGATCCACCATGAGGCCTGGTCACAGACCAGGCCGCGGGAGCGTTGACCCCCGGAGCTCTCTCCAGGTAAACTCCAGGAGCATCAGGACTACGTTACACCAAGACTACTTTTAAATTCCTAAAATTGACATTACAGTATACTATCACTGATCGTCTTTTTTTTTTTATAGAACTTGTCTCTTTGCTTATACAGAATAATTGCATGCTAAACAAAGCATAAATTCATTGTTGCAATGATATTACAAATTATATTTCATTGATGTTAAATAATTCTAACTAAATTTAGGATGACAAATGTTAATTTAGCCTTTCTGGGGTCGGTCCCATGAAATTATGGCTTTGAAGCCAGGGTTGGTCCCGTAAAACTATGCCAAAATTCTAGCGGCTTCCAATCTTGCAGGAGAAAGCTGTTTTTGGTGTAAAACAGTGACTTTGTACTGTATTTTCCTATGGTTTTTATGGTTATATTCTCGGTCTCATTTGATAGAATGGAAGATATATTACAGAAATAGAGATGGTTTATAGACTAAAAGTACATAGTTTGAAACTGAACTCAAAGTAGCAGAAAAGTTTGATTTTTCTGATGTTCACTAGTAAACAAAACACGTCATGTGTCCAATACACGTCAACTGGCCAGTCTAATATGCATTCACAAATGCACTGACATTATTTATACAATTATTACCATTATGCAGTAGTATGAATAACAGTAAATCTTCTATTTGTTGTGCGAATAAAAATTCAAAATGAAAAGCAAGCATAATGTAAGAGGGGACTGAAGACGTGAGTAATGGACAGAGAAAATGTTATTGTAGTGCCAGGAATATCTACACTATTTATTCTGGCCCCTGTTTTGAAATTGGCCTTTCTTGAATTCTGTATGAAATTGGCCAAATTAGTAATTTCTGATTTTATTGGGTAGTTGAAATAGGTAAATGGGCAGTTTCTTGTACTCAATTGATAGAATAAAAGGAGTTCTAGCTAAACAGCTATGAGTTTGGTTGACTGGAACATTGGAATTGGCCCAAAATAGGACTCAAAATGGGCGAAATCGCTGATGCATAAATATCGCCAAATTTGCGAGAGCGTAATTCTACAAGTTTTCCATCAAATTTTGTTCTTTTGGTTTCATTACCTTCAGGAAAAAATTCTCTATCATTTCATAAGATTTTTTTTTTAATTCTTCGACCCTGGTAGCAGGTTTGCCAGCAAGGGTCTCAACTCTCAAAGGGTTAAACAAGTTTAGGTTAGTTTTTGTCCAAAAACTTAAAATTTTTTATACTTGACTAATTCACAAAAAAAATATCAGAGCAGAAATTTTTCACCTTGTTTGACCAGTTTTGCCTAAAAACCATATTACAACATATGCATCACCAATAAATATATGCCCAGCAATTCTTATAATCATAACTATACTTTCTTAGGTGTTGATGAAGAGCAGATGATGAAACCAGTCAAGTTTGATGGCAAGACCTTCCTTAAGTTCCCTAACATGGTGTACAGAATGTAAGTGATTACCAGAAGGGATGTTTGTAGGTTCATACATAAAAATGTGTCCATATATGCCTTGTTTTAATCTTAGGTATGGTACTTATAATTCTGGGATTCATTCATTAAAATGCCCAATTTCCCCTTGCTTCATGCTGAACATCATCATCTTGCACTTTGTTGGTGGCAGTTTTATCACTAATGTATCAAAACTTTAATGGCTCAGAGTATCCTCAGTTTAGCTACATATTGGAAATTCTTAATTAACAAACAACACTTTTACTGCCATTAACTAGTACATGATTAACTTATCTTGATGATTATTGTGATATAAGTACTTTATCCAGCTGTCATGAACTTTTAACTTGCAGCAGCCAAAGGGTCTTTTTAATACTGTATTGACATTAGCTCCCACTTTTGTATGAATGGCACAAAGTTATGGAGACCAAAGTGATATTTGAAGTTGACAGAAGGGCAAGTAGGTTAATAAGAATATTGACGCTGTAAACTTCAGAGATCAGAAGGTTGAATATGGTACGTTAATATTATCGAAGGTGTAAACACAAACTCAGCTCGAGGGGGATAAAAACAGTATCGAAGCATAGATGTTAGAGTGGGTATTTTACTACATATAACAGTTTTTATATATTTTTTGCATGATTATTTTTAAAAGCATTTTGATAGTTTGAGGGTGTGCATCTTTATATTTAAGAAACTTCTTCAAATATAAATTAATGTCAGTGCTACTAACATACTTTGCTCAAAAGTAGGACTTGCTTATGCTGTATAATAGAAATATTGACCCTTGCTGCTTTACTAATAATAAACCTAATATAACAGTCTCCTACACTTCCTTCCTCCATTCATTTTTTTTTTTTTTTTTGCTCCTTTTTATTTTCTCCTTTACCTCATCTTACTAATTCCCTTTCATCCTCCATTTCCATTATACCAGTCCTACTTTTCACATTTCATCATTGAATACTTCCACTAACACCTTCCTTGCATCCTTTGGTGATGGGTCCTTCTACAGAAACCTAACCCATTACAACCTCACTGCCGATGACTATGATGCCTATGATTTTCCGGAGCCTTGGACAGATGTTGACCTCAGTTACCCAACCGAGTATGACCTCGAAGATGACATAGCTTTTCTAGAAGAGGAAGACTATGAGGATGAAGGAAAGGCAGAAGAAATTGAAATGTTGGAAAAAAAGAAGGAAGAAGAGATGGTCTCCTTGGGTGAAGAAGTTGAAGAACTTGAGGATGGTTCTGGCCTTCTTTCCCTGTATGATGATGATGAAGCCATGTTGGAGGAGCAGGAGTACTATAGTGCCTTGGAGACTATGCAGAAGGATGACAACGACCATGATAACAACCTAATACAAGACAATAGAACAGACCAAGAAACTGAGGGGGAGGATCTGGGAGGGTGAGAAGCTTCTACTAACAGCATGATACATTTTTCTGTTGTACTCTTCTCTTTTTATCATGAGCATGGCCCTATTTCTTCTGTGGTAGAATTACATAAACATTGGTCAGGTTTCTTGAGGTGCTGATGGAGATATATATTACATGTTTTTCCATACACATTGCATTCATGCACTCTTATTTATTATTTTACACAAAGAGCAAGCTGCAGTTGTTACTTGCATTGAATGATTTAGCTGATATGCACAATGCTTAACCTATGTTTTAAATATTTGAAATTGTCTGACATGATTGAGAATTATTGCATAACATTTTTAGGCAAATTCCACCATTATATTTTGAGAGATTTGCTTTTATTTCAATTGGAAGCATACACAATAAATAAATCACTTTGCAAATTAATTGTAGCAACAAGTGATAAATGGGTGCAATACAGCCAGAGAGTATTTAAAAAGTAACTGCAAACTTATTAAATTTTCAGTCTATATATGTTACTTGTTATTATAAGATAAGATTTCGTTCGGATTTTTAACCCTGGAGGGTTAGCCACCCAGGATAACCCAAGAAAGTCAGTGCGTCATCGAGGACTGTCTAACTTATTTCCATTGGGGTCCTTAATCTTGTCCCCCAGGATGCGACCCAGGTACCTATTTGCTGCTAGGTGAACAGGACAACAGGTGTAAGGAAACGTGTCGAAATGTTTCCACCCGCCGGGAATCGAACCCGGGCCCTCCGTGTGTGAAGCAGGAGCTTTAGCCACCAGGCCAGGTGGGAGTGCTAAACCTGTAGGATTATAGAGTGCATGTGGGGGATATGATATTCAAATTCAAATTCAAAGTTTATTCTCTATAAGGATTACAATGCTGAGTTTACAGAATTTGGTTATTGTATTGTTTACAAGTAGTAAAATAATAATTACAGAGTGTACCACTAGAACACCTAGCATGGCTAGGCATTTCGGGCAGACTTAAATTAAATCTTAAGTTTAAAATATTACAAAATTATGAGGTAAGTTGGTATTATGGCTAAGTGACTAAATACTAGTTTGTGAGTTTAGCAATGTGAATGCTTTTGTTTTGGCACTATACATAGTTTCAGTATTGGAGTATCACAGGCCAACTTATGACTAGTTAAGATTCATTATTTTGAGATTGAGATTGATATTTCTGTTTATGGTCAAATGGGTGAGTGAGTGTAAGTGTTAACCACCAGGTGGTATTCGTGTAATTAGTTGACAGGGTGTATCAGGGAGATAAGATGTTTTTGAAGGTGATGAATGTGTCTGCAGTTTTAGAATTTTCAGGTAGGGTGTTCCAGATTTTAGGGCCTTTGACATACATTGAATTTTTGTAAAGGTTTAGTCGGACACGGGGAATGTCAGAGATGTTTGTGTCTGGTATTGTGCCTGTGAGTTCTGTCGCAACTATCAAGAAAGAGTTTTAGGTCAAGGTTAATATTGGAATTTAAGGTCCTGTAGATGTAGATTGCACAGTAGTAAGTGTGGATGTACTGAACAGGGAGTAAGTTTAGATCTATGAAGAGTGGGGGGGGGGTGTTGCCAGGGATGGGTTTTTAGTGATTATTCTTACTGCGGCTTTTTGTTGGGTTATTATTGGCTTTAGGTGTGTTGCTGCAGTTGAACCCCAAGCACATATAGCATAGGTGAGGTATGGATATATAAGTGAATGGTATAGTGTGGGGAGGGCAGTTTGCGGCACGTAGTATCGTATCTTGGAGAGGATCCCAACCGTTTTGGATACTTTTTTGGTTATGTGTTGGATATGGGTGCTGAAGTTCAGGTTGTTGTCGAGGTATAGGCCTAGGAATTTGCCCTCATTATGCCTGGCAATTAGAGTGTTGTCAATCTTAATGTTAATTTGCGCATCTCCTGCTCTGCTACCAAACATAATGTAGTAGGTTTTGTCAGTGTTAAGCGTAAGTTTATTGGCTGTCATCCAAGTCGATATTTTGATCAGCTCCTCATTAACAATGGTGTTGAGGGTGGCAAGATTAGGGTGAGAGATGACATAAGTCGTGTCGTCAGCAAAGAGAATGGGGTTCAGGTGTTGAGATACGTTTGGAAGATCATTGATGTATATGAGGAAGAGCAGGGGACCAAGGACACTTCCCTGCGGAACTCCACTATCAAGTGGCTGTGTTGTTGATGCTGTGTCTTTAATGGTGACATACTGATACCTATTAGTAAGGTAAGATTTGAAATATGCAAGCGTATGGCCTCTTATACCATAATGGTCAAGTTTGTGGAGTAGGATGCCGTGGTCTACTGTGTCAAAAGCTTTTCTTAGGTCAATAAAAATTCCTAGTGGATATTCCTTATTTTCCAATGCGGTGTAAAGCATATCTAGCATTTTTATGATTGCATCGTTAGTGCTTTTATTTTTCCTGAATCCAAATTGGCAGGGGTTGAGTATGTTTTGTGCCGTTATAAATGAATATAGTCTCCTGTGCACGAGTTTCTCAAAGATTTTGGATAGCAATGGTAAGTTTGATATTGGCCTATAGTTGTTTAAATCTGTAGGGTCACCACCTTTATGTATTGGTGTAACCCTTGCCGTCTTGAGTAGTTTCGGGAAGGTGCTAGTTTCTAGTGACTTGTTAAAAAGTAATGAGATAGAATGCGAGAGGACATGGGCCGCTCTCTTGTACAATAATGGTGGGACATGAGATAGATTCCCTGAGTTATTTTTAAGTGACTTTATAATCTCGGTGACTTCCATGGGCTCAGTTGGAGCAAGATAGAAGGAATTTGGGAAATTCCCATCTAGGTAGTCCCCGGCATGGGCATTGGTGCATGGGATTTTATTGGCGAGATTAGAACCTATGGTTGAGAAGAAGTCGTTTATCTTGTTAGCTGTGTCAGTGGGATGCAGTGGTGTTTCATTAGGTTTAGTTAGGGCAATATTCTTGTTTTTTTTTCAGTTTTTGGGTCCCTAGAATCTGAGTGTGTGTTTTCCAGGTCTTTTTTATATCTCCTCTTGTGTCAGTGAATCTACTGGAGTAGTATAGTTGTTTGGCTTTCTTTATTACTTTGGTGAGGACTGATGAATAGTGTTTAAGAATATCTTTGTGTATTAAGCCCTGTCTATATTGCTTTTCATATTGGTGTTACTTATCAATGGATTTCAGAATGGTGTTGGTTAGCCATGGGCAACCAAGCCGTTTGTTTGTGATCTGTTTCGTTTTTATAGGACAATGTTTGTTAAGAAAAATGTCTGTCCAGTCGTCAATACCATTGGCCTTGGAGAATTCTGTAGGCCAGTCAACAGTCTCTAGGTCAGCTGTGAACTTCCTTATTGAGGCCTCATCATGGAGTCTAAATGAAACTTTGTATTCAAGTGGTGGTTTACTAATGTTTGTCAAGAGGAAGGTAGGGTAGTGGTCTGTAGTGCTATCTGTGATTATCCCTGATTTAAGGGGGGCTAGTATATTGGTCCATATGTGGTCTATTATGGTTGCACTCGTTTCAGTGAGCCTTATTGTTATTGTTGGTATGAGAAGTGTGTTGTTCATATTGTTGATGAAATCAGTTACAGGCTGATCATCTAGTAGGCCAAGGTTGATGTTGAAGTCTCCAGCTAAGAGAAGGTGGTGCTTATTCATTTGTCTGTTTGTTATTAGTGCCTTTAGTTTCTCACTGAAATTTGGGATGTTTGTGTGGGGTATCCGGTAAATGGCACCGATTGTTATAGGCGTCTTAAGGTTTTTTACAGTAAAATTAGCAAAAATGTATTCTCCATATTCATCACTAAAGCAAGTGGTGCTAATACAAGATAATTGGTTAGAGTAATAGATTGCAATACCACCCCCAACTTGGTATTGTCTGCAGTTGTGGATTGCTGTGTATCCTGGTAGAGGGTAGATATCTATTATGTCCTGCTTAAGCCAGGTCTCAGTAAGAATAATGCAGGAGAAGGGTGTCTTTAGTGATTCAAGGAGTGCCAGGAGGTCATCATAGTGTTTGCTTAAGGACCTGATGTTGTAGTTAAGTACTGATAGACTTTTAGCATTGTTAAGGATAGTGCTGGCTTGTGATGCTGTGTAGTAAAGGCAGTTACTTTCCAATAGGTTTTGATTGTGTGTCAGATTATGGAGGTTTAGATCAGGGTCAACGTGATCAATCATCTTCTAGGTCTTAAAATTATGGTTATTTATATCCTGAGTTGTGGGTTGAGTTTTAGTACTGATATCTGTAGTGGTGGGAAGTTTGGACAAGTATATAGCTATAGCATTTTGGTCATGTAGAGTATAGTCACTAATACACATAATGGAGTTGGTGTTGTCTATGTGTTGTGCTGGAATGAGCTAAAGTACAACTAGGTATAAACTAATAATATAAAAATACAAATTAAAAATAGCACAAGACTCTAATTGCACTAAGGTCTAATGTAATGACTTTGGTATAGTCTATGTATTGAGCTAGAATGAGCTATAGTACAACTGAGTTTAATCTAATGATATAAAAAAGGCACAAGACTCTCAATTGTAATTGCACTAAGGTCTTATATAAGTTGTTTACAAGAATTAGAGTATAACTAGATTTAAATTGACAAGATAAAATATGCAAGTTAAGGTAGCAAAATAATAAAAAAAAGTAGAAAAAAAAAAATATGAGGTAGTTGGTACTAATTAGCAAAAGATAGTTAAGGGCCTTGAACAATAATATAATTGAAATATGCACTAATTGCACACACAATATAGTCACTAAGATATGAAAACAATCTTAGAATAGGACTTATAATATAAACTTATAATATAAAAATACAATTTGAAATGGTACTTGCAATTGCACTAGGGTCTGGTATAGGTTGTTGACAAGATCAAGAGTATAACTAGATTTAAATTGACAAATTAAAGTACCAAAAGAATAATAAGTAAAAAATAACAATGGTAATGTCTTGGTTATAATATGATAGTAAGATGGTAGACAGGTACACAGGTACAAAGGATAATATAAAGGTTGGGGTTGAATATACAAACTTGGAAATTTGGCAACAAAATGTTATGGGAAGTATAAAATAATGATTAATGTACAAAAGTAAAATTGACTGGTAGTAAATATGGTGTTTAATAAAATTTTAGTAAGTAATAATGATTACAAAATAAGTGAAAAAGTAATGTTTATTTCTTTCAAAATTGCACTGGTAGTTATACTTGAGGTTATTTGGCAGTACAAGGTAATTAAGAGTACTCTAAAATAGTAAATGTGGTATTAAAACTGGTTAAGGTAATTAGACAAGTAATGGTTATTAAATGATGTCAAAAATGTTAAGAGTAAATTGTACTGATAGTAAAAATGGTAATTATTAATTTTAGTAAGTAATATCAATTGATAGTATTTAAAAAAATAGGTAGTAATGTGGACAGAGAAAGTATCGATTCAGCTAATATTTAAGCAAACAATAGTAAATAAGAAAATTAGATAAGGTGACTTATGCTTACTAGTAAAATCACAAAAATGAGGTAGTTGATTATTTAATTACTAAGAGATTGTACTACGAGATTTGAACAATAATGGAGCAAAACATACACTACATTACGTAGGCTTTTAGGTTGGACATTTAGTTATTCTCTGTAAGATCAGTATCCCTGAGAAATCGTGATAGATCATTCTCGTTCGTGATTGTGTACAGTTGACCTACATTTGTTTTCCTAACTAGAATTTTCCCATCCCGTGTGAATTATTCTCCCGCTTAAGTTTTCTGACTCTATACAGGAGGTTCTGACGTTTTTTGGTAAGACACTCGTTTATGTATACCTCTTTCTTTACTTTAATAGATGCAATTATTAAGCCTTTTTTCCTGTCATGTGAGTGGAATCTAAGCATAACACTTTTTCTACCATGGGATCCTAGTAACCTGGCTTCTTTTATTTCTGACTCTGGTACAGTAACACTTGTTTGGTCCTTGATGATCTGCAGAGTAATTTCTTTGCTGTTTGTTTGGTTCATATCACTGGGAAAAAGTGGACTGTTAACTATTACTGCGTCCGATAGTTTATCTTGCTCAGTTTTACCTTCTTGGAGAGCAAAGTAGTCACTGAACTGGTTATCTAAGTTGTTCTTCCATTCTTTTACTGCTTCTTCAACCTTTGTATTAAGAGATATTATTTGTTGGGTATGGCTATCTATGACTGTTTGGATGGTCTTGTCACAGTTAGTCATTCCTGGTGTTGATAACTTTTGTTCAAGACTGAGGATTTTGTTCTCGTGTCATCCTGGTGTCTTGTTTTGTTAGTGTCTCTCGAAGATTCATATTTTCAATAACTAAGGTGGAGATGCATGTCTTTAGGGTATCTGGATCGTTGGTCATACCTGAGAGACTACTTGGTAGGTTGAATCCGGGGAAGAGAGGGGAGGATGGGCTGGTGGCAGCCATATTTGTTGTTGTTGTTGTGGTGTCGCCTTGAGCGGTGGTGAGTGGGGTGGTTGCTGGGCCAGCGTCCTCCTGGCTACACTTGTTGAATAGTTGATTTTTCGGTGTTTTCTTGCTGGCCTTGGTGCTGTTTCCTCTTAGATTGCGCCTCATAATACTACAGGAATTGTTGTAGTTAAGAAGTAGTAGTCATACAAAGCTTGGGGTTACGTTGTTCAGCTGGCAGCGGGGTGTTGCTTTCGGTTTGTGGGCAGTCTTCCTTTGATCTCTAATATTTTCGATTTGTAGGTTTCACTGTTGGTAATCTTTGGTCATTCTGGGTGCTACGTTGGGTAGTGCAGTTTTGCTTGTAACTAGGTCATCATAGGAGCATTGGTGGCTCTGATAGTTGGAGAAAAGTACGGAGCTTGGAGGTTGCTGCTGCCGCTGCTGTCTAGAAGGTATTCAGGCTCAATTCAGGGAACCGGAATGCAGATTCAATTCCCTAGATCAAGAGCTCCTCACCAGTATCAAGGAACCTCCCTTGAGGGGCCATTTATGTTTCAAAGTACAGGTAGTTCCTGCTTAACTGAGTTACACTTTAGAAAAATCACCCATTTTTTCCCCTTATATAAATTCACATAAATGATAGGAAATTATTATTATGATCATAAGTAAGTGCTGAACCTGCAAGGGTCATGCAGTGCTTTGGTGATGGGAAAGCAATGCCTACAAAAATATGAACGGTATGTTAATATATACAAACCAGAGATGGATCAAATGATTGTGTATATTAAGGGTTGTTGCCACAATTTGTGGTAGTTGGAGAGAGAGAGAGGCATAATAGTCTTCCTCCTGTTTTTACAATAATGCCATGTTCCTTTGTCTTTTTATACCACTACATATCTTATCACTTGATAATCTTTAATAACTAACTTAGGATCTGTGGAATGTAAACTAGTGTTATCATCATCATCTTTCATCAAACTGGCCACATCCCACTGAGGCAGGGTGGCCCAAAAAGAAAAACAAAAGTTTCTCTTTTTAACTTTAGTATTGTATACAGGAGAAGGGGTTACTAGTACCTTGCTCCCAGCATGTTAGTCACTTCTTACAAAATTCATGGCTTAGAGGAAGAATTCTGTTCCACTTCCGCATGGAGATAAGAAATAAACAAGAACAAGAACTAGTAAGAAAATAGAAGAAAACCCATGTGTATACATGCTTGTGTAGTGTGAGTAGAAGTAGCAAGACGTACCTGAAATCTTGCATGTTTGAGACAGAAAAAAGACCAGCAATCCTACCATCATGTAAAACAATTACAGGCTTTCATTTTACACTCACTTGGCAGGACAGTGGTACCTCCCTGGCAGTTGCTGTCTACCAACCTACTACCTAGGAAACTAGTGTTATATCTAAGGAAAATAAAGCAATAATGCACCTGTAACCATTCATATGCACTACCACCTATTTCAAAACAAGTGCTTGGGAGACAGGCTATGTATCTGTAGTCCTAGACTACAGAGCCTAATGCACAAGTCAAGAGAGCCACATGCCAGCCCTCAGCTCAGCAAGTAATGTGCTGCAAATAACTAATTACACAGTCACCAGCATATATGAATTTATTCCTCACTAACTCATTTGTTAAAGCAAATCCCTATTATGTGAGTATTTGTGAAAATAATACCCTTATTTCTACAAGTACATGTACAGTGTACAAGGTATACAGGCCTAGCTGACATCAGTGACATACTACTATATAGAGAGTTCCTTGTTATGCAGAGCATTTTGAGCAAATTAGGTCAGTTTTGTCCCAGGATGTGACCCGCATTAGTCAACACCCAGGTACCCATTTTACTGATGGGTGAAGAGGGACAGCAGGTATTTTATGGAAACATGTCCTAACATTTTCCAGCTGTACTGTAACAGAACTGAATGACCCATTCAGGTTAAACTTTTGTGTGAATACCTGTATAATAATAATGGTAAATAAAAAATTTACTATTTTAAATGGAAAAGAAGTTATAGACAATTGAGTACTATAGTATATGTTTCCCCTTGTTTTATATAGATTCCTATAGTGCAAATTCACTTAGATGTGGTGATCATATTTCTACTAGGAAATCCCTGTATGTGGTAAAAATTCACCCCCAAGTGAGTAGTCACTGAGCTTTTTGATCTTATGCAGTGGGAATCTCTGGGTGCTTTGCATGGGGCATTATGGGAGCAACAACAAACTATCAAAACACAACAGTTTCACATTGTTTAAAGTAGTGTTTGCATCTTGAATTCTTTGTAAGACTTTCCTTGCATGTCTGCAACTGCAATCTCCATTATGGCTTCTCAGAATCCTACTAAACCATCTAGCTCTATCCCTGACCCACTGAGGAAACACCTTTTCTAACACTGGAGGCAACATTGGAGATTTTGAATCTTGATACTAATGAGGGGCCATCTGTGCTTGGATATGCTGGCAAGTCAACCATTTGCACCATTAAAAAGAATGCAGAGAGCATTAGGAATGCTGTAATGCTGTCTTCACCCCATAATCTTAAAGTATAAACCAAATTAAGAAACCCATGTTGGAGAAAGTAGAAATGCAGGCAGTGTGTGTGGAAGGCCAGAATCAGAGAAAACTTAGTCTTTTCTTTTCTGCAATCTGGGGGTAGGGCCCTGAAAATTTATGATTGCCCGATACAAGATGAAAATGATTAACAAGAGTATCTCATGGCTAGTAAGGGTTGGCCTGACAAATTCCCAAGGCTTGAACAAAACTTGCACGTCCATCTTTGCTTGTGTGTGTGTGCTTGTGTTGCTGAGTACCAGTATAATATATATTACATCACACATTAGGGATTAGGATTGAATTTTAGGTGTTTATTATTTCTGTTGTGTTTTGACCAAATTTATTTTTTGTATATAACCATTTGAAGCATATGTGGAAAACTCATAATTTATGAGGTAAACATAAGTCAAGAAATGTGGAATTGGCAAAGTCTTGAAATGAATCCCAATGTTTTTCATGTTTATGTAAATTCACTTTAGGCTCCTAGGCCAGGAATGCCTCTGTTGCATAAAGTGAGGGAGACCTGTACTGCTTACATAATAGTAAAGAGAGAAAGTAAGCAGACAATAGGCTGAATGAATTAAAAATTTTAATTTTCTTTACTTTGAATTTAAACATGTGACATTTGTAATTGTTTAAAACTTGGTAAACTTACAATAAATCAGTAAATTTTACATACTGAAATAAAACTTGACTTTGATTATATATTTACTAACAAATAGCAAATGTAGATTATCAGGAAAATATTAAGAAATTTTATGATCTGTAAATTTCAGAAAATATGGAAAAAAAATGCATGTGAACATTGTGTATTATCAGATATATTGAGCAAAAGCACCACAAAATGTGTTAAGGTTTATCAGTATATACTTATTATGGTATTGATAAAAAGGGGCAGTCTATAATAATGGCATTATTTAGCAGTTGCTCTTTTTTTTTTTCCAAAGGAATTAATAACTTATTTCATTCAACATTATTGTCATTTACCAGAATATTGATTAACATTTCTCCTCTTCCTCCTGTTTCAACAGTAAGCGTGGTCAGACTACCAACCACTTCGAGATCAGATTCCGTGCCACTGCCCCAAATGGAGTATTGGTGTGGCTGAACAAGGGCACCAGTGTCTCCAGGGACTACCTTGCCCTCACAATCAATGGAGGCTTTGTTGAACTCTCCTTCAACCTGGGCACACAACAGTCCATGCTCATCATAAAATCCAAGGTGAATAACTGAAATTGTTCATTGCTCAAGGCATGGCTAATTTAGTTATTGACATTTATCCTAAAAAAAAAAAAGCATAATTTTTAAATACAGGTCAGCCATCACTAATCCAGCATTATTGGGATCTGTTTACCTGGAGTTTACCTGGAGAGAGTTCCGGGGGTCAACGCCCCCGTGGCCCGGTCTGATCCCGATTAGTGAGTTTGCCAGATTACAGAGTGGTTAGGTTAGAATACACTTAATTAACCTATCAATAGAGAGACTGCTACATCTTTCTCATTTTCATCATTGCTTTCTCCTCCACTGGCTTGCTGCTGTGGATTTACAACCATCTGCACAATTTCTGAGTCAGCATAATGATGAAATTTGAAATTATGCTAGCTGAAATTAGTGGCAGATTACTGATGGAACCGGATAACTGATTGCCAGATTAGTGATGGCTGACCTGTAGTAATATTTTCATAGGTAAAAAATAATATACACTTTTGCTAGGTGTATTCTTATGAGGATAAATGAATGGTTTAGTGGTAAAGATACATTTCCTGGAATGAGAAGCCCCCCCCCCTCAAGGGAGGTTCCTTAACACTGGTGAGGGGCTCTTGATCTAAGGAATTAAATGTGTTTCATATGATAGTGGATAGGGGAGCAATGTGGCAGATGTTGCAAGTACATGGAATAGGTAGTAAGTTACTAAATGCTGTAAAGAGTTTTTGAGGATAGTGAGGCTCAGGTTAGGGTGTGTAGAAGAGAGGGAGATTACTTCCCGGTAAAAGTAGGTCTTAGACAGGGATGTGTAATGCCACCATGTTTAATATATTTATAGATGGGGTTGTAAAAGAAGTAAATGCTAGGGTGTTCGGAGAGGGGTGGGATTAAATTATGGGGAATCAAATACAAAATGGGAGTTGACAGTTACTTTTTGCTGATGATACTGTGCTTATGGGTGCTTCTAAAGAAAAGTTTCGAAGGTTAGTGGACGAGTTTGGGAGGGATATGTAAACCTAGAAAGTTGAAAGTGAACATAGATAAGAGTAAGGTGATGAAGGTATCAAATGATTTAGATAAAGAAAAATTGGATATCACATTGGAGAGAGGGAGTATGGAAGAAGTGAATGTTTTCAGATATTTGGGAGTTGACGTGTCAGAGGATGGGTTTATGAAGGATGAGGTTAACCATAGAATTGATGAAGGAAAAAATGGGAAGTGGTGTGTTGAGGTATATGTGGAGACAAAAAATGTTATCTATGGAGGAAAAGAAGGGAATGTATGAAAGTATAGTAGTACCAACTCTCTTATATGGGTGTGAAGCTTGGGTTGTAAATGCTGCAGCGAGGAGGCAGTTGGAGGCATCCTGTCTAAGGGCAATGTGTGGTGTAAATATTATACAGAAAATTCAGTGTGAAAATTAGGGGGTGGTGTGGAGTTTAAAAGTAATAGTCAGAAGGCTGAAGAGGGGTTGTTGAGGTGGTTTGGCCATTTAGAGAATGGATCAAAGTAGAATGACATGGAGAGCGTATAAATCCGCAGGGGAAGGAAAGTGGGGTAGGGGTTATCCTCGAAAAGGTTGGAGGGAGGGGGTAAAGGTGGTTTTGTGGGCGAGGGGCTTGGACTTCCAGCAAGCGTGCGCGAGCGTGTTAAATAGGAGCGAATGGAGACAAATGTTTTTTTGGGACCTGACGAGCTGTTGGAGTGTGAGCAGGGTAATATTTAGTGTAGGGATTCAGGGAAACCGGATATTTTTATATATCCAGACTTGAGTACTGGAAATGGGAAGTACAATGCCTGAACTTTAAAGGAGGGGTTGGGGATATTGGCAGTTTGGAGGAATGTTATACAGTGGACCCTGACTTACGATGGCCTCAACCTACGATAAAACCAACTTACAATGCTTGTCAGCATAAAAATTTGACCCAGACCTACGTTGAAAAACTCTACTTGCATCATTCGTCCTGAACGCGGCCGTCTGGTCCGTCTGGCCTGAGCGCCTCAGCTGAGCTAGTGTGACATTGTTTACAAGCCAGAGCAGACGGTTGCATGCATACATTCGATAAATTTTGTATTATTCCAGTGTTTTTAGTGCTTGTAACTGCTAAATAAGCCACCATTTGCTTATCGAAAATACCGAGAAACAATTAACCCCAGAGGGTTAGCCACCCAGGATAATCCAAGAAAGTCAGTGTGTCATCGAGGACTGTCCAACTTATTTCCATTGGGGTCCTTAATCTTGTCCCCCAGTATGCAACCCACACCAGTCGACTAACACCCAGGTGAACAGGAAAAAATGCCTGGAACTAGTGCTCATATTGGTGAATTTAAGGCCAGCAAAGGTTAGTTTGAGAGATTTAAGAATTGTAGAGGCATACACAGTGTGATAAGGCCTGTTCTGGAGGAAAATTACGAACAGGACCTACATTACTCAGGAGGAAAAGGCACTCCCAGGACAGTGTCTCATCACCACATCTTCAATAAAGGTAAGTGTCATTTATTCTTCATTTAGTAAACTAGAAAATGCACAATATATATTGTGCATGTATCCTTTTTATGTGTAGGAAAATGTATATTTCATGTGGTAAAAATAAAAATTCATACATTTGGGCGTCTTGAACGGATTAATTTGATTTCCATTATTTCTTATGGGGAAAATTAATTAGACTTATGATAATTTCGTCTTACGATGTGCTCTATGGAACGGATTAATATCGTAAGTCGGGGGTCCACTGTATGTATTTATATATGCTTCTAAATTGTTGTATCTGGGTGCCTCTGCAAAAACAGCAATTATGCATGAGTGAGGTGAAAGTGTTGAATAATGATGAAAGTAAAAACGAGCGACGGCTCGTAACTCGTAAGTCAAGATACCACTGTATACCTAAGAATGATATATCATGGTTGAGGCCATCCCAATGATTGAAGCATGGTAAAAAGCAAAAAAAAAAAAAAACCTGGGGACTAGAGGAAGGCCCTAACTTTCCTCAGGACCACTTTGAACCCTGTTTCAAGCTACTTCCAGTCTGAAAGTGACCAAAACCATCTGTTTCAGTAGTATGTCTTCCATTCCATCAAAAGATGTAAAGAACCAACAAATAAAACTCCTCAAAGTCTGTTTGAAACCAGACCCAAGGGTGGAGGTTTGCTCTTCCTATCACGCACCATGTGGGGCAGGATTTTTTTTTTATACTACTGTGCTCTCGTTGCACAAATATATTCTCTTGTGTCTAGGGCCAAAATTTATAGCTCACAGCTTATCTGAGGGAGCTGTGCTTGAAACATAGATCTTTGTGAGGGACCCTGGCATCGGTGACATAGATCTGTGTTTGAAACGATTAAACAAATTGGTCAGTGCAATAAATGGAGAATACCTTTTCTGATCAGCTTCAAACTTCAGTGCTGGTGTATGTTATATAGAGAAGCACTTAAATTAATTTTTGACTATGTAGGTGGCAATTTGCCAATTTTATTAAATGGGGTTTTCATGTCATTTATGAATGCCTACTCTGATCAGCTTCAAATTTAAATTTGTGGTTTAATTTTTAATATTGATCACTGTGATGTCTATAATGCCTTTAAACCTTTCTAAGCTGGTGCATCCTAATTGAAGGGTCGGAGTGGTTTTGGCCTGTGTAGATGCCAATTTGCTATTTTTATTGAAATTTGGATACAGGAGGGCCCTGCTTTGTCGATTCATTAATACAGACATTTCAAATTATACCCAAAAATCTGTTTATACTGCTCCTGATTCACCATTATGGCATTATGTGAAGACAAGTTGTGCACATTGCAGGGTGTTTGTATTGTAAGAAAAAAGTTTCACCAATGAATGCAAAATGAACGTGTATCAACAGATAGTAGATAGGTATTAATACACATTTGTCTGAGCACCCATTCACTCTCATTCTCCATGTCTTGTTTACGATGGCATCTAAAGGTCGTCATGAGTCATTCACTCTAAATGCCAAGATAGAAATGATGAAACTCAGTGAATAAGGTATGTCATTGGCAGTAATAATAATTCCTCTGGTGCTTTAAATGTCATAATTTTTATAGACATTTTCATTAATCTATCTGACTTTCTTTTTCAAAATTATATAGGAAACGCATTAGATATCACAATAAACAAAATATATACAATCATAGCAAAACAAACAAACATTATTGTGGGGCATGGTAGCCAGGTGACTTCACCTGACTTCATATAATAAATACAACTCGCCCTTCACTAAGACTACAAATATTTTAAAGTAATGAGTTTACTATATATATGCATTTTGCTTTTTTGTGCCTAGTTCTATTGTTAACTTAATACATGATAGTGTAAACGTGTTATCAGGCATATACAGTGGACCCCCGACATTCGATGGCATAGACATTCGATGCATTTTAACGCAAAAATTTTGCCTCAACATTCGATACGATTCGTACGAAATGTGTCCACGTGTGGCCTGAACTGCCCCGTGTGTGCCAGTGTTTACAAGCCAGCCAGTGTGCGCGCATCTAAGGATACATTTGTACATTCCATATTATCACTGTTTTTGGTGCTTGTTTCTGCAAAATAAGTAACCATGGGCCCCAAGAAAGCTTCTAGTGCCAACCCTTCGAGAAAAAAGGTGCTAATGACTATTGAAATGAAGAAAGAGATAATTGCAAAGTACGAAAGTGGAGTGCTTGTGCATGATGATTTGGTAAAGAAATTGCCTGCAACTAGTAGTGATGTGAGTGAATTTAAGGCCAGCAAAGGTTGGTTTGAAAGATTTAAGAATCGTAATAGCATACACAGTGTGGTAAGGCATGGTGAGGCTGCCAGTTAAAGTCCTAATGGAAGGGGATTCCCCTTCTAAACATTAACACCATCCACACACTCCCCTCCTCCCATCCCATCAATCATCACCAGATCTTCATTAAAGGTAAGTGCCAATTTTTCTATTGTTATTGTTGTTATTGTAATTATTCTATTGCATTAAACTTAATATTTCATGTGGTAAATTTTTTTTTTCATACTTTTGGATGTCTTGCACGGATTAACTTGATTT